AGGAGAGGAGCAAAGGGGGGAAGGGGGGAGGGGTTTGTGCGGGGAGAAGGGTGCAACAATGAATGAATGGAATCCCAAAATCTCTGTATATGTTCATTGAAATGAAAAATAAACAACCTAAATTAAAAAAAAAAAAGAAGAAGCATCAGGGTTTCAGCCGTTGGCAAATGAGAGTTTTCAGCACCTCCCCTAAGCTACTGAGAGAGTTGCAGATGCCGGAGGACGCCTTGGAGAAGGTGTGTGTTCCATGGCCTGGCTGAGGTACTTAACTTTATGATTGTGTGTTCTACAAAAAGACCAATGAAGCAGCAGAGGGAGAACCTAGTGTCTACTTTGCAGGCTTCTCAGAGGAGGTGACTTTGGATATGAGTTCCACAAAATGAGTGCGTTTCCTGTACCCCGAAGTTCACAGTCCATAAGGAGGACCCTGGGGGTTAGGGGCTCCTCACATAAGCTCTTCTAGAGCCCAGGGAATGGTCCTGCCCCAGAAAGGATGCCTGGAGGGTCTGGCCCAATGATTATTGGAAGTGAACTCCACACAACCAAAGAACACTTCCCTCAGCTTCTACGTTGTTTCGCCAAGCCTAGGTTTCCAGGGTCTGAAATTGTAGAGACAGGGAGCTCTGCGCCATAAGGAAGAATAGTCCTTGAAATAGCTTTGTGCTTGTTTCTGCAGGCCTTTTCTAAGCCTTATTTAAGCAGTTCACTTTCAAGTTTTTGTACTCTTAAGAATTACCAAGTGATTTGGAGCATTTCTTCATGTGTCTGTCTGCCATTTGAATATCTCCCTCTGAAAATTCTTTCCATGTCTTTTGCCCAGTTAGTAATTGGGTTATCAGTCTTTTTCTTGTGAAGGCCTGGAGGATTCTGTAAATTCTTGTTGTGAGACTCTTGTCTGAGATGGTATTGACAAATGTTTGGTCCCTGTCAATAGGTTTTCTTTTCACCCTGTTAGAAAAAAGTTTTTATGAACACAGGGATTGAATCTTTAGAAGGTCCCATTGATCAATTTCATCCTCTTCAGATTGTACATTTCTGGCTGTATTTGGCAATCTCTTTATACCATAGACTAGAGTTTTTAAGCTTGATCCCAGTTTGTCTTTTATGAACTTTATGGTTTTTTGCTTTACTCCCAGGTCTCTTATCCACCTTGAAGTGATTTTTGTGTATGGTGTGAGATGTGGATCCTGTTTCAGCTTTCTGCAGGTAGCAGTCCAGTTTTACCAGCACCATTTGTTGAAGAGGTTGTCATTTCCCCATTTGATGGGTTTTATTTCTTTGTCAAGTATCAGTTGACCATAGATAGCTGGGTCTGTTTCTGGGTTCTCAGTTCTGTTCCACTGATCTCTGTGCACATCATTGTACCAGTATCATGCTGATTTGGTTACTACCTCTGTGCATCACCTGGGATGTTGGTAGACGTGCAGATTCCAAGTCCTGCCCCAGACCTGTGGACCCTATGAGAAACATAAGTGGGAGCAGGGGCAGTGAACGGTTTAATCAAGTCCCCCAGGTGGTTCTGCTGCAGCTCAAGTCAAGTCGGTATTGACCCAGGGAATTCTAAAAATGCAGATTCTTAACCACCATACAGAGATTTTCATTTAGAGCAAAACACCTTACCAGTCACCACAGAACCTCCATGAGCCTCCCCTCAAATTAGGCCTCAAATTGCAGCCTTTTCTAAAAATCTCCACGTTCTTAGAGGCACTTGTTCCTGAGTTCCAACTCATAGGTACGCCGATTCCTGTGTGACGACGTCTGTGAGCCTCAGTGACTGCATCTGTGCACTGGGGTAGTATGAACCACTGCAGGCTTGTCAGGATTAGAGGGGGCTGCGTGAGGCATTGGACAGTTAGATGGACCCCAAACCTGAGAGCTGCCATGACTCACGTATCCTGGACTCGCTGCTTTTCTAGCTACACGTACGTGTGTGTGTTTGTGTGTGTGTGTGTGTGTGTGTGTAATACAAATAAATCATCGCTGGAAATATTTGGTAATCAATGAGTACCCATTCTTGCATCAAAACTGACCCCAGCACCCTTGGGAAGCTGGAAGAGTATGTCAGGATGGGCTCCTTTCTCAGTCCTACGCGCCTTTCCTCGGGACCAGCTGCAGTCATTAACCTCTGAGTTTTCAAGTACTGAGTGATCCTGGCGCCCTGGCTGTGCTGCGTGGCTCTTCCCACCTGCAGCTCCTTCCCTATCACAAAGGGCAGTGAGGAGGTGGGGGAGAGGCAGACTCCTCTCTGAGGCTCCTGGGCCACAGAATTCCTGCGTAGAACACAATGATTGTTAGGATGTCCTGTAAGACACCTCAGTGTCTGGATCCCACCTAGCACTGGTTGGCCAGAAGCCCAGAAAGTGCCTCATAGAACATGTGTGTTATTTGTTTATCCCTTTATAACCCAATCCTATTGGATGTTCTCAGTGTACACCCAGAATATCAAGGCTGCCTTCCAGGGTATAATCTAAGAGCAAATTCCTATCCTCTCTTTCAATATGAAATAATGTCTTAGTTCTTTGCGTTTTCAAATTTGCCTGAAGTGATGCTCCTTGGATCAGACTTGTGATGCTGAAGATAATTTCAGTCTCTCTCACACCCAGATTACATCTTAAGTGAAAAAGTACTCAAGACCTTACAAAGTTCCATGAATTTGTGGCCCCGCTGCTATAGGGAAGGCAGTTGTGAATCCAAGTTCATGGTCCACCTGAGACTGGTACAAAATGCTTTCTTCTGATTATGTCCACTGTGGGCTACTGCCAGAGCTCACCCAGCCAAACAGGTACACTGAGAGGAAGCACAGTTAATAAGGTCTTGAAAATAGACTCTCAGGCCAAAAGTGCAATAAGTTTTCACAAATCTTAAACACTGGCGTTGAGAATGTTTTCCCTTGTCCAGAGCGGGAAGAAAAAGGGAAAATCCAGGGAGTGTTCGGGTTCAACCACCTGGAGTGCACACTTGGCATGACAGGAGGTTTGGATGACGCAGCCACACTTTCCACAGAGCCAGCGGTGGTCCAGCCACGTGCCATGTCTCACGGCCAACGCGAGATCTCATGGCACGTGGCCCACCTCTCGGCAAGGCACACCTGTGTCATCACCCAGGCACGTGAGTGAGTCCAGGTGAGACGGTCGCGCTCATCAAAACACAGAGTCTTCTAGAATCTCAAAGCCGGGCTCTTCCACGTAACTGACAACTTCGATTTCTGTCTCATAGGAACCACCTTTCTGTAAAAACAAAAGATCCTTCCTTAGATGTCTTAAAGAGTAGGTTTTTATTCACAACTGTTTTTAGGTTGAGTCTCTTTTCCTTATAAAAATATTGACTATTCACTGAAGAAAATGTGGAAAATAAAGTAGGAAAGAGGAAAAAAAAAATCACACATAAATCCATTTCTCACAAACAGTCCACTGCTGGTGGGCAGCCCCACTTCCATGGATGCAGCTGTCCTTACAGCCTTGGGGAGCATGGCTCTCCCTCGGCACCTCTGTCCTGTGTGTCCCCTCATTCTCCCTGTGTGTGTCCCTCCTTCCGTGTGTGTTGTGTATATTGTCTAAGTACCTGTCTTTCCTCACACCCTTTCCCTCTCTGGCCTGCTTTCACAAGAAGCTGTGTAACGTGAGGGAGTAAGTTGTCCTGAAAAGCCGAAGGTGCTGAGCTCTGACTGACAATCCATTGCTTCTTCAGAAACTGATTTGTCAACCCCAAGTTACTGTTTTGCACACATGACTTGGTCTTAATTGAAAACAAACCACAAGCTTCTACAATAAGCTCTTAATACAGTTTCTTCCACCAACCTCAGACTGTTTGAGGAGCTCTTTAGGACGGTGTAGGGAAATTAAAACACAGCATTAAGACGTTCCATTTGGAGGCTGAGACACATGACTTGTCGGCTACTTAAGCCGAATGTAGTTCTCAAGGACGGGAGAGGCCAGCTCAGGCGAAGTCACGTGTCACAATGACTTCAGAAAGCTGTGAGTCTACAGAGGCCGGGTGGGTGCTGCCCATCAACACAGGGTCAAAGCCAAGGCCAGGTAGAGTAAAGCCAAGTGGAGGAAACTGGTAAATTTAAACCCAGAGTCAGAAGGCTTTGCCTTGGACAAGTCTGACCTGTTTTTATAAATGAAATAATATCGGAACTCAGCCACACTCATTCATTTACATAATACCACTGGCTGCTTTCCCATTACGATGACAAGAGTCAAGCTGTGGGTGCCACAAGAATCATTTGGTCCTCAAATGTTTACTGATTCTATTGAAAAAGGTCACTAGAAGTCATTCCCTATCAGTTTAGGAATAACTTTGACAAATGACTTGTATGAGTTGTACACTATAAATGACAAAAAAATTGCTAGGAGAAATTAAAGAAAAACAAAATAAATGAAGGCCCAGTGTTGTTAAGATGCCGTGCTTCCCCAATTTGTAACACAGCAAAATCTCAATTAGAATCCCAGCAGCCTTTTGCACAAATAGATATCCTGACTCTAAAATACGTATGTGAAAATGCAAAAGATAAAGCAGAAAAAACCAAAACAACACAAAACTGAAATAGAAAAACGTCTTTTTAGGAAGCCTCCTGCAGTTGGGTCCCACGGTTTACTATCAAGGTCATTCCAAAGACAGTGACGTATCAGCATGAAGGTGGATCATGGGGATGGAGCAGCATCTCAGGATAGACCCACGTCTGTGGATAACAAGGGCCCAGCGCTGTCTACTGAGAAAGGAATGGTTATTGTGAACAAGTGGTGCTGGAATAATGAAATGGTATCATTCAACTTGACCTATGTGCTCTGGGGGGGGGGTGGACACTAAGCCCCCCAGCACCCTGGCTTCCAGGTCCTGGGGCCTTCAGGACTGAGCGCCACCATCCATGGCAGCATGGCTGTGAACCACGTGGCCTCATCCTTCTCCTGCATTCCAGCTTTTGGTGGTTCTGAACCCGGACCTTTCCGTTAGCAGCTGGACACGTTACCCTCGGCTCCTTTAATGATGACCAAGAACTAAAAAATGCGTAGTTGGGAGAATTGTTCCTTCTCTTCCCAAGAGTCCGTGTTTCTCCTGTCCTAAGACACACACAACAGACACAGCTGACTCTCCAGCAGGTTTGCAGACACCGTGACTCTCACAGGACACTGGCCATCTTTCTCCCATGGAGTTGGGGGATTTGAGCCACCTTTGGTTTACCAGCAAACTCCCTATGGACAAAGCCACCCGAGTTCCCTAAGATTCCATACACTAAGGAATTAAACTTCCCCTAAAATTCCTTTCTGGCAATGCTGGGAAAAGATGTGCAGTCTCTTCCTGTGTGATTTACAGACTCTGAAAACCTGCTGGAGGGTTTGCTATGAGTTGGTTCCCACTTAATAGCACATAATAACAACTGTCCATAGCAACATGTATTCTTCACACTTTCATGTTAAGCAGGGCCTTTGATTGACTCATCCAGGCCCTTTAGTACAAAAAAGGCAGTCCGAGCTTAGAAATTTTCTTAAACCAAATAATCTGCTCTCGAGAGGATTCAGACTCCTAGTGATCCTATGGCAGGGAGTCAAATTGCGCCATAGCATAGCGTTTCCTAGGCTGCATTATTTTAGGTGAGAAGACTGTTGCATCATTTTCTCAAGCACTGCCTGAGGGGTTCAAACTTGCAACCTGTTGGTTAACAACCAGGCATTTAATCCTTGTACCACCAGGGCCGCAAATGGTCAGTAAAGAGATGGTTAATCTGAAATTCAGTCACTTGCCATGCAGCTGCTAGCTGGACAATGACTAAGGACGACGGAAGAAGTGAGCTGTGAAGTGTGGTGTTGGAGCAGAGCAGTGAGTGTCCCCTGGACTACCAGAAGAACAAACGCACATCTTGGAGAAGGTGCAGCCAGATTACGTCTCGGAGGTAAAGCTGGTAAAGCCTCCCCTCCCGCACTTTCCGGCCGTGGTGCGAGGAAAGGCTATTCCTTGAAGAACAACATGCTTGGGAAGATGGAAAGATGGAGAAGGAGGAAAGAGCCCCCCAGCAGGTGGACAAACACAGTGACTGCAACCATGGGTGTGTGTGTCCGACATTGAGGATGGCACAGGACAGAACAGGGTTCAGACCTGTTGTTTAGTCACTGAGTCATGCTTGACTAGACAGCACCTAAGAGCAACAACAATATGAAATTAAAACTTGAGTCTGACTGATGAGAACACTCAAAATTAAGACACTTCCAGAAAAGAAAGGCAATAATGCATGTTGTTAACAAGAGTGAGCGTCTGATACAAGGATAGTCCATGAGTAAGAGTCTCCCTTATAAAATGCAAAGTCAACCCTAAAAAACCATAACCGCCACCCAAGCAGATATATGCACACCCATGTTTATTGCAGCTTTGTTCACAATAGCAAGGAGTTGGAAACAACACAAGTGCCTATCAACAAATGAATGGTGGTATATTCACACAATGGAATACCATGCTGCATTGAAAAACAAAGAACTCATGCAATATTATTCAAAATGAGTGACCCTGGAGGACATTATGCTGAGTGAAATATCTCAGTCACAAAAGGACAAATATTGCATAGTGCCAGTGTTGTAAAATGGGACTGACATCGGGGTTGAGGTAAGACAGAGAAGGAGGGGAGGAATGATGTATACTGCGTTGAAACAGATGAGGGAGAGAACTGTTTAAAAGGGATATGTGATTAGGTATTATTGTCATGACAGGAGTCCAGATCAAAGGCTGCACAGTGGAGTGGACTTGGGGGAGGGATTGCATAACAATGAAAGAATTTTTCTTTTACTTTTGAAAGAGTGAATTGGGGGAAGGTTGGGCAGGGAGAAAAATACAACAATGAATAAATGGAAATCCAAAGTCTCTGTAAACGTTCATGAAAATTAATAGTAGAAAAAAATGCAGTCAGTTGCATTACCACTGTTCTCTCAGAGCCCAATTCTAGGGCGTGGGTCACAGCAGGGGGCCCTCACCGTTACCTCATGGCTGGTGCCCACGGAGAGGTCCTTGATGCTGCTTTTAGGAGCTGGCACAGGGGGAAACAGCTTGGTCCATAAGTGACCGCTGGAGGGAGAGCAAAGGCCAAAGTTAGATGACTGTGAGCATCCCTCCCTGTGTTCAGATGCCCAGTCACACTTAGGTGGTTATACTGTGCTTTGTGGGACCGTGAATGCCAGGGAAGGTGATGCTGTTGAGTCTGTCTGACCTGGAGCCCGTAAGGGGCAGAGTAGATCCATCCACAGGCTTCTCCGCAGCTCATTTCTGAGTCATTCTCAAGCCTTTCTTTTAAGGCACCTTTGTGTGGCTCTGAACCACCAACATTTTCATTGGCAGCTGAATGAGTTAATATTTTGCATCACTCACAAACACTAACTTCAAATACTTCTGTGTTGTACCAGTTTACCTCGGGATAATACAAGGCTCTGGCATGACTTCTGAAACTAGAAAGTTAAATCTCTTAATTTCTAAAAATGGGCATGTGGGAGAGGCCCCTCGGGTCACAGCCTCTGCAGCCCCTTTTCCTCCTGGGCCAGCTTATGGGGCTCTCTCTCCATGATGTGGGGGAGGCCCCTCAGGTCACAGAGCCTCTGCAACCCCTTTCCTCTTTGACCAGCTTATGGGGCTCTTTCTCCATGATGTGGGGGAGGCCCCTTGGGTCACAGAACCTCTGCAGCCCCTTTCCTCTTTGACCAGCTTATGAATGAGGTTCACTGTCTATGAAATGGGGGAAGCCCCTCCAGTTGCAGAGCCTCTGCAGCCCTTTCCTCCTGGGCCAGCTTATGGGGCTTGCTGTCCATGTGGGGGAGGCCCCTAGGGCCACAGAGCTTCTGTAGCCCCTTTTCCCCTCGGCCAGTTCATGGAGCTCACTGCCCTCTTCCTTGCCTTCAGCTGACACCAGCCCACAGAAAGCATCTGAATATAATGTACTTGGAAGTACTTTTACTTAAAAATCAGTTCTCTAAATTACACGAGGGCCAACTTCCTACACGGTGTTTGTCTTTCTGAACGCCCTGAGGGTTGGATGAGTGTTTGTGGTGTCATTTGCAGGCTCAGGGGGATAGGACAACAGCGCTGCAAGACATTTCTGTAACCTGTGTCTGACTCAGAAGCATTTAGCCACTCGGGTGGGGTGATCAGAAAGCCAGGTAGGAGCTAGCTCCTGATAATGGGAAATAATAACACAGGCAGCATCGTGGCAGCCTCTGCCTCCATGAGCTGCTTTGCTCTACCAGACAGATAAAGGCTCATGCTGTTAGCTACAAAGACAACCACGTGCTGAATGGACAGCGTTTGAAGGGATCAAAAGAACACAAATGTAAAAACCTTCCTAGAAAATAAGAGTCTGTGGATAAGTGGGCAAACTGTTGGCTAAGGGCTCTGACCGGCTTTGTCCACTTTCTGTAATCATGGCTGGCTTCCCTTCTCAACTTGGTGAACCCTTACCTTTAAAAAGTCTATGTAGAAGACAGACTTTAACACTAAGGCACTGTGAGGGCTTTGTGGTAAGGAGTCGTGTTGCCAATCCAGAGGCATGTGGTTTGAATCACCGTGGGAGAAGAGTGAGCGGTGTCCTCTCTGTGTGATTAACTGCCTCTGAAAAGCCACTGAGGGGTCAGTGATGGCTCATTCCCACTCAGTGGTCATCAGCACATCAGCAGGAGAGCGGAAGGGAGCTCAGGTGGCCTCGCCCACAGGGGTTTCCTCTAGGCCAGTTCAGATCCGCCAGCGGCTCTTGGGAGAAAGATAGCACTTTCCTCCTGTGCGTTTTACAAGCTGCTGGAAGGGCAGCTATGAGCCAGTTCCAACTCAGGGTCAGTGAGTTCAAGCGGGTTTTGTTTGTGCAGTTGTAAATTTTGTTTTGTTTTAAGGAAGATGGAAGAATGAAGGCATTCCAGTCCACGCAGGGCCCAAACTAAACCGAGCCTGTATTTGGAATCCCCCTGATTCCACCCGCAGCGTCACCCCCCATGCCGTGGAGCCTCGGGGTCTCCTCGGAGGGTAGCCTCGTGGAATCTCATCAACTGGTGGCAGCCGCTGGGTGGGGTCAAGCCACCTGCCAGCCTTTATGTTAGTAGCCACATGTGACCTGCTTCCACCAGCCATGAACTTTTGGTTGCATGGCAAGACTGTAAGAATTCAAACTTAAGACCCCGCTAGATAAAACCAGACGTGAAGAACACCTACGTTCTGCAGATGAGCGAGAGGATTAACAAGACGAAGCAAATGGCTGCCATCAGAAGAACGAGAAGCCATTCATCGGAAGACTTCTCCTCATCGTTTCCTGAAGAAAAGAAAAAGAAAGGAACTAGAGCTCCAGTCAGCATTGTTCTTCTTAAGTGTCCTCGGGTGGAAACCCTCTGGACAACAGACCTGAGCCCTCCCCTGGCCTCCCCTTCCTCACGACCTCTGATAGAGTGGAGCTCACTGCTGCAGTCACTCTGCCAATCCATTGCATTGAAGCTCTTCCCCTCCTTTGCTGACCCTCCACTTTTCTGAGCATAATGACCTTTTCCAAGGTCTGACCCCTTCTGATAACATCCAAACACATCCAAAGGATGTGAGACAAAATCTTTGGGGTTGTGGGGAGGGAAACTAAGAAACAAGGGGATAAATAATATATACTGCATAGAGACAGATGAGGGAGAGAACTGTTTTGGAGGAATACATGGTTAGGTATTGTCATGACTAAAGTTCAGAATGAAAGCTGCATAGCAGAGTGGACTGAGGGGAGATTGTATAACAATGAAAGAAGCTTTTTTTTTTCAAAGAGCATGAACTCGAGGGAGGGGCAGGCAACAAAGGAAGTGTGCAACAATGAATGAATGGAAATTCAAAGTCTGTAAACTGTCATTGGAGTTCATTTTTTTAAAAAGTGTCAGTTGGAATATATGTTCCGTAAGATCCCAGGGGGGCCGATACCTTTCCTGGTATTACTCGGTCTGGATGCTTAGCTCCTGGACACGTCCCTACCTTATGGCGTGGAGTCAGGAGTGACTTAGCCAGCAGGGCGTTTCCAAGGAGCCACCAGAGCCCCCTCACTGCAGGGAGGATGAGGGACCCGCTTCAAACCCTTCTGATTCCTTGAATAGGGGTCTGCTCCACTTTCTCCATCCCTCAACGGACCATTCAGTCCCTTAGCCATTATACAGGTAGACTCCTAACACACTTAGAAATCTTGACTCGGATGCTTAGAATACGGATTCATCAAAAGCCGTGTCAGCCGTCAGCAGGGGAACAAGCATCCTGTCCACAGGGAGGTTAAACAGTGCTTGGCTCCTGCAAAAAAACCCCAAAGGCATCTTCAGTATTACCAGGGTCCCATGTGGGGCCCCTTTGGTGTCTCGAGTTGTGCAATTCCCTGTAGCCCGATGTGCCAAGTCCTGATAAAAGTGCCGTTTACTTCTAAACAGGATTACAAAAATTGTTACAGTTAAACCACTCTCTGGTCATCCACTTCAGTGCTCACTTTGATAAGCAAAGATTCTCTCTGAATTAACAAAAATATAGCAGCAACAGATTTTATTTCATTCAGTTAAAAAAAGTTGTTGATGCATGGACGGTACTGCCTGGGAGTAAGGCTAGCCAGTCCCTGTCGGGAGGGAGCCGCTAAGTAGCCACGTCTGCTGGCCCGTCCATCCACTGACCTAGCACACTGCAGGTACCGCCGGACAGACTGCTGAGAAGACTGACCCCTGAAGAACAGGGTCAAGGCCAACTTGACTGAGAAGAAACCTAAATTGTCATGTAGATGTGGTTCAAAGAAAAACTCATTTACCACCAAGTGAAAATTCTTTCAGGATTATCTAATGGTAACAAATAGCAACAACAACAACATACTCAGCTTACGGCAGCTGTGTTGGAACAAACTCCAGGAGGTTTCTGGAGGCTGTAAACCAACCACACAGGAGGAAATTGCCCATTTATCTCACAGGGCAGCTGGTGGATTTGAACTGACTGCCTCTGGATTAACAGACAACTCCTTATGTCCTGGGCAACCAGAACTCCCAATAAGAAGATATTATTGCCAAAATTAGGTTAAGATATTAGTGCAAAAAATTTTAGCATTCGAGAAGTTAGTGGAAGTAATAGTCTAGACTGATTTTAACATAGAAAACAAACCCCCAGTTCCTACTCACAGTATCTAGCATATGGGTTTAAAATGAGAAAGAATTTCAATATTGTAAAGTCTGAGAGGTCTTTGATGAATACATGTTCAGTCTTACAGATTTTTTTTAAAGTAGTGTTTCCAGGGAACTTGACTCTCTCGTGACTCAGAGAATATCTTTTCTGCTATTAAAATGAAACTCACAGATGTTTCTTTTTAAGAAATTGATGGGCACCACTACTTGGTTATGCAGAGATGAGCTTTAGAAAGCGGAAGTCACAAAGTGTGTCCTTCTACAGGACTCTCCACCACGTATCTAGATGCCCTTCACACATTGCCAAGTTCAAACAGTTGAGAAACTCAGCTGCTTAGCTTCAGATGACCTTGGCTTCCCAGGGTTTCTGATTTCTCAGCATTTTGACTTTGTAGTTAAGTCGGTCGGTGAAAACTTGGTTCCTGTCCATGACCTGGGAGTGACTGTGGGCAGGGCATGGAATTGAGGGGTGGGATGTGGTCCACTGAGAAGGCAGACCCCAGCCCTGGACCAGTTCTGCCTCCCGCTGTCTCGGAAGCTTGTCTAGTGCTGCGGCTGTGGATTGCGTGGTTGTTCTGTACCTTCAGGTGGTAACCAAGCCGTGGCTGACCCTCCAGTAGGTTTTCAGAGGCTGTAAATCCCACGGGAAGGAATTGCCCGTCTTTCTCCCGTGGGGCAGCTAGTAGATTGGAACTGCGTGCGTTTGGGTTGGCAACACAGTTCTTTACCACTAAGCCACCAGAGTCCCCTTCTTGTGTTAGGACCCAATGATTTGAGGAGTCTAGACTAATGCCAAGTTACTAACTTGACCTGGAGTCTTGCTTCACTGTAAATTATCTGCAGTCCTCAGATCTTCCAGCGTTCCCATATTGATTCTCACCCTGATTTCAGAACCAGTCATTTCCTTTGTTTTGCTAGACTTGGAGGGGAAAATTTTAGTAAATGGTGCAAATGATAAAAAGCTGGGCTGCTGGCTGGAGGCATTTAGGCACCTGGGACACAGGCTGGCAGTCAGTTTCTGTGAGGTCTCAGTACAGAAAGGCCCATCAAGCATTGGCCAGCTCTGCACACACAGGGTCCTGTGAGCTGGAATTGCCCAAATGAGGGCAGCTAACAAGTGTTCCCTCAGCCAACAGTGCTGGGCCCTGCTCTGCGGGCATCCAGACTCGGGAGCTGAGAGGAGGGCATGCTGGCCTCTCACTGGAGCCTGAGTCTGTGGCATTGTGCAGGGCAGAGACACTCCAGGCAGATGGCAGGCAGGCAGTGGACCAAAGGCCAAACAGGTTGTGAGAACAGGTGAGCCTGCCGGGGCAGGTACCCCGTGGACTGTGGGCCTCTTAAACAAATGCAGCCTTGGTGGGCGAGGCCAAGTCCAGGGCCTGTGGCAAAATGTTCTAATCACACATGACACCATCTGATGGCAGGGAGAGAGAGTGGCCTGCTCTGTGGATGGAGTTGGAGATTCTCTGTGTGTGCATATATGTATATATATGGGTGTGTACCTGTGTGAGCATGTGTACATACAATCATATGTACTTATATGAGAGTGTGTACCTGTGGGGGAGTATGTACCTGTGCAGGGGTGCATACCTGTGCAAGGGGGTGTGTACCTGTGCGGGAGTGCGTGTACCTGTGTGGAGGTGTGTACCTGTGCGGGGGAGTACGTACCTGTGTAGGGATGCGTACGTACATACTTGAGCGTGCTCACATACGGGTGTGCTCACGGTCAGCCGTGTGGATCCTGCAGCACTCTGTCCACATTACCTGGTAGCACTGACCTTGACCAATCTGAAGCACAGACTTCTTTCCACTCTCTCTTGCTCGCTCTCTCTGTCTCGCTCTCTGTCTCTCTCTATCTCTATCTCTGTGTGTCTCCCTCTCTCTCTGTGTGTCTGTGTGTCTGCATCTCTCTCTCCTCTCTGTGTGTCTCCCTCTCTGTCTGTCTCTCTCTCCAGGCTCCCTCACGGTGCATGCACCAAGGTCCCTGTGCCTTACGGGGTTGCCCAGCAGCCCAGAGCCCTGTTCTCTCTGAGTGGCCATGGGCCTGTGATTTACCCACTAGGAAGCCAACCCCAGAAGTTACAGGCCTTACACATTGTGAGCCCCGGGGTCAAGAGGTTGTGGGGTGGGTGGGGTGGGGTAGTGGAGTGCAGAGCCTGTCTGAGTCAGCCCTCCCCCGGTATCCAGCCTGACACGCTTCACCGGCAGAGCTGGTCTCCTTTCTCTGCTTCACTTCTCTGCGGACACAGAGGATGATGGAGGAAAGTGCCCAGAATGAAGCTGGTACCGAGAAGATGCTCATTCAGCAGTGGTGAGTGTGACGGTACCACGCTGCGTCAGAACCAGGGGGACTGCCCAGGACCAGCAGAGAAAAGCGGGAGCTCCTGGTGCAGACAGCAACCCCCACAGGCAGTACAGGCTCAGCACAGACTGCACCGTGTGCTGAAGTGGATTAGAGGGCGAGTCAGATTCAGGGGGGCAGCTCTGTGGAGCCTGGAAAGAAAAGGACCAAAACCTTTTCAAGAACTTAGAAGGTGCATGTGCTGAGGGTAAAGGTCACATTCAGGAAGACTTTCCAAGTGAAGGCAAATTTACACCAAAGTGCTCTGTGGAGCAGGTTCCATAAATCTTACCCAAGGAGTCTGGGGGCTGCGTGTAATAAGCATGGGTCAGGAGACATGCAGGACCCACCTCAGGGCTCCACCATCTCCTCGAGGGAGGAGAAAGGGACGTGACAGGCAGAGTCCTAACTCTCAAGGGATGTCTCCTAATACAAGGGAGCTCTGGGCGGCCCAGTGGGTGAGCAATTCCACTACCAGAGGCAGGCAGTTCGAATCCACCAGGTGCTCTGCAGGAGAACAATGACCAACCTCTTCCCTTGCGACTTGCGGTCTCTGAAAACCTCCGAAAACCTGCTGAGGGTCAGCTGAGTAAGAGCGGTTGTTCCTCTGCAGAAACAATGGCATATTCGCAGAAGAGGGCTCACTGCTGGCCCAGAGCTCAGGCAGCTGGGATCCACCGTCAGTTTGAAGGAGAAAGCTGAACAATCTCCTCCCATGAGACTTACAGCCTTGGAAAACCAACTATGACTCTGGTTCCAAGTCAGGGGCCATGAAACGGAGAGTGTGTATTTTATACTAAA